CCAGCCATGGTTGGCTTTTTCCTTTAACAAGTGTCAAAGCATCATTTCCCTAAAGTTAAGCATATACCTCATGTACCACTATAGAACGAACACATGTGAAGATTTTATTTAACTCATAAATTAATGAGGGAACCTATGAAAAGATAAGAGTGGTTCCAAGTGCATGTGAGGAACAGGGTTTATATCATCCACTGGGAAAGGCGTTTTTTAAAAATGTTGGAGTAAAATTGCCAGATTAGGTACAAAACGGAGTAATGTCCTACAGGGCAGCAAGCCCAAACCTTTGGGGGTGATGTTTTCTTTTTTTTTTAAGATTTATTTATATATGCATACAGAACTGGGGTACAGGCCAGAGTTGTATATGTGGGGGAGGGGGTCTGAAAGGATTCACAAGAGACAGAACGGGGAGCAGAACAGGCAGGTTTGCTGCACTACTCTGCTGAGGGGAGCAGCGGGCAGGTCAAGAGAGGTCTGCTGCACCCTGTGGGTCACCTCCAGGCTGGGGATCCAACTCATACTCAAGAGGCTTTAGCTTCTTAATGCTGTGCTTTAACGTGCTGTGCCACCAGGGAGGGCCCCCATTATAGCCTTTTAAAAATGTTTCTTAGCATGCAAAAATATTCTCATGGTTCTGTGACTCCATGGAAGGGTTTTCTGGGACAATGTTGCTGAGAATGTCTCTGAAATTGAAGTGCCTGTAGCTCTGGTTAAATGATTGAACAAAGATGGAATCAGGAGCACTGGCTTCAGGATGAGTTCCCACATCACTGCAAGTTGCCCATCTGGGTGAAGTGAAACGTCCCCTGTGGCTGCAGGCTGAGAAACTCAAGATGAACCTCAGCAGGTGGTCTAGAGAAGATGGCTGGGCTGGGCTCTGGAGAGGCCACCAGGAAACAGAAAGGAAAGAAAGGGATGAAACTTACCCAGGTCACCACTATCCCTGCCTGGGTGAGGCTTCCTGGGCATCAAGAGTCCCCAGTGAAGATAGTTGATTGTCACTTTGCCTTTCCCAAGCAGCTCCACCATATTCCCTGATAACTTGGGCATTGAGGGGAGAGCCCCCTTCTCTGGCAGCCCCTCTCTGGCCATCATGCTGTTGCCAGCATCCTATCCCACCTCCTACCTTGTTTAAAAATCCATGGCTTCTCAGTGGCTTGCTTTCTTTCTTGTCTCTCCTGCCGTTACACCATCAGGTACATAGAGGGGAGTTTGGTTGGTGCCTGGTGGTGTTCTCGTGAAGGGTTTTCACACTGTCAGGGTAATGAATTCTGCAAGGGTTTGAAGCAGGGAGCTGGGAGGATCTCCATGTCATGTGTCTGGGAGTGACAACCCCCAGTGGTTAATTACTGCCACACGATGAGAACCGAGCTGGTAGCAAAGTGAGATAAGTTCATTATGAGCTAAATTTGAAGTTAATTGGATTCACATTTCCCCCCATTAGTGTACATAGAGAGAGCCTACCTAGAAATGGGCTGCATGAAAAACAAAAAGTTGCATCCAAGCAAACACTGATAAATTGGGACTAAGTCATTTTGTAGAGTTCACAATGAAGGACATTCCGAGATGTTGGCAAGATGGGAACCAAAGTTCCTTTCAGGAGAGACCAATGTCTTTTGATTAATTTCATCCTGACAGGCCTTTTCTAAGCACTGGCCATCCCTGTGTAGGGAAGGGAGAGATGCAAGTAGTTCTTGTTTTCTGGGGCCTCCTGTCCAGAGGCAGAAGGAAAATGCCCTGTGTCTGGGAAATTGAAAGAATCTGGTGGCTGAATACCTGGGTTTGGATTCAGTTTCATTCACAGGAGTCATGAGTCCTTTGACAGGTATATAATCTCTCTGTGTCTTAGTTTTCCCTTCTATACAATGGGGGCAGTCACAAGACCAACCCTGCAGAGTTTTGAGGAGAAGTCAAGATCTGGAAACAGTATTTGAACACTGCCAAGAACAGTGCCTGGCTTATGTAAGTCAACAACATTAGTTACCTGTATGATTATTAACAGCAATTTTGGACACATCAACTACTTGGTGACTTCATTTCCTCATCTTAAAGTGGGATGATAAGCGCACCCACCTTCTAGGCTTATGAGTATTAAATGTACATGCCCCAGGGTCTGACTCCTAGAACTTCAAGCAAACCTGTCACTCTGCTGGTTAGCCAGTCACCAGATGACTATTCGTGGCCAGGGGGATAGACCCTTCTCCTCCATGAGAATTGCTGCAAAGATTTTGCAGACATCCTTTAATACTGTCACAGTTAGCACAATTGTTCACCCCCACCCCCCACCCCCAATGAAAACCTTCTATATCTAAGTATCAGTAGAAAGGGAAACCAAGGCTTGGATGATTGTGTAACTTGCCAAAGCTCACAAGCATGGTAAAGTAGTGGTGCTAAGATTTGAACTCAGGCCTGTGTGACTCCAAACTCCACCGCTCCCAGTCTTGGGAGTCCCCCGTCTCCATGATATTTATCTGTACTCTCTATGGTAATGATACCCTATGTCTATTAGTATTTACTCCCTTCCCCCTTCCCAGCCCCAGGCAACCACTACTGAATGGTCAGGTAGAGAGCACAGACTGAAGAGGGCCTTGAAAGTCAAACCAAAGAATCTGTACTTAATGGAATAAGCATTAGGGAGCTTTTGCATCTAGAAAGGTATTGATTCTGGACATCTATTATCTGTCTCACCAAACTTTTTCATTGGTTCCAATAGATGAACTGATTATCTTGTGATTTTTCAAGCTCCAGTTATACCCAGCTAGTGATAATTTTGGCGTTCCCCTCCCCCTCTTGCTAATGTCTCTATTTTACTGGACGAGCTAAAACTTTCAAAACAATTTTCAGTGATAACATGGAAAACAGGTGTTCTGGATATAGTCTTGACTTTACTAAGAATGCTTCAGTATTCTAGCAATTACATTTGATGTTAACTCTAGATTTAAGATCAATATCAGATCAAAGAAGTGTTACTGCAATTCTTATCTGCTAAGAGGTATTGTAAGGAATTAATATTGTATTTTAGCCCATGCCTTTCCCACTGCTTTGATAGAATCGTATGGTGGTCCTCCTTTGATATATTAATGTGATTTCTCAGCCAGTGCTTAAATATTGAATCATTCTTACATGCCTGGAATAAACTAATTTGACCTAGTAGGCTATTCTTTCTAACACTACTTGATCTGAGAGAGAGGAGGTATGTTCATGAATTGTGTGAGTAGTCATTAATTTGCAATTTTTTACACCTTCGCTAAGTTTTTATATCAGGATTGTGCCAACTTGGCGAAATGAATTAGATTTTCTTAGCTTTTTATATCCTGGAACAATTTAATATCACAAGGTATATGTCCTGTGAAGGTTTCAAAAAACTTGCCAAAACCAAAAACAAACGTATAAAGAGAAGCTTCCCTGTGGAACGAAGTGGACAAGACACCTATTAAAAAAATAGTCTAAAAGAATCTTTCCTATTTCTTCTAAGGTTATTGGATGAGTCATATTTTCTACCTCTTCTCAAGTTAATTATGTTAATTCATATTTTCTGAAAAATTGTACCTTTTGTTGAGAGCTCCACACTGGCTAGTGTCAAGCAATCATGCGTTTTTGTATTTGTTTAACCCGATCCCATCCATATCTCTGAGTATCTCCTCCCTTACCTTGATATTTGTGTCTTTTTTTTTTTTTTGAAACTTGCCCTATTTTCACCAACCCTATTGGTCTTTTCAAATAACAATTCTTGGTCATATTTATTGTTGTGCCTGCTTTTCTGTTTCCGAAATCATTATTTGCTCCTTTTTATTTATGGATTCCTTCCTCCTCCTTCCCCTAGGTTCACTTTATTGCTTTTTTATCTGGCTTTTGGAGTTGAGTGCTCTGGTGAAGCGCTGATTTTCTACCCCCTTGCTTTAAAGATCAAGGTTTTAAAGCACAGGTAACGCTGGCAGAAACTGTTGAGGTTCAGACATGACCAACCCCGGTTGATGAAAGAACCCAATCTTGGGTGGGAGAGCTGGATTCCAGCCCCAGACTTGCCTCAAAACAACACAGGCTCCTCAGGCTGGTCCATCCCTTCTCAAGAAGGGTGATGATATGGGCACAGAGACATCCCATCCACTGGCCAGCACGTTCTTTCTGGGGTAGCTGCCCACTTTCCCCACCAGTCTGACAGCTGAGGTCCCAGTTATTGATCTTCCTGGGGCCACTTCATGAATACATACAACTGGCCCCTTCTTTTCCTCAGACCTACACAGACCTCAGGGGCCCCTCCCAAGCCGGGCTCTGCTACCTTAGAATTCTCTTCCCCCTGGTCTGGAAACCACCACGTTTGGATTCTCTGCTCATTCATATGCTTAAAAAAGCCTTCTAGACACTAAGTTCAGTGGAGGAGCCAGGTTTTCTGGATGGCGACTGAGTTGTCACCCCACCCTCAGGACTTGGGAGCCTGCAGAGAGGACACACATCCCCTGGGGTAGCTGCCGGAGCTTGACTCCAGCCGCAGCGTCCAGAACACACAGCGCTTCCTGTACTTCCCCTGAGTGAACGAGGTGCTCAAGGCCATGGGAGGAAGAACCCTCTAGCACCTGATCCACAGCTAGGGGTCAGAGGCAGTGGCCCAAGGAGGAGAAGGAACGTCTTTGGGTTGGTTTTTCACGGTGGGTGGCTTGGACCGTGTAAACCTGGAGGAGAAGGTCCCTATGCAGAGGAAGTTGAGGTGTGGAGGTGCGAAGTCCAAGCACTACTTGGGGACTAGAGAAAAAGGGCCCCAGTTTTCCAGGGACATGGCAGAGCTGTTTGTGGTTCCCGCTGAATGGAGTGAGGGTGGCTGTGGAGGGGTGTGTGTGGGTGTGTGTACACGTGTGTGTGTGCAGTTGCATGAGATCTGGGGCTGGAGGCACATTGGTGTTCAGCATCCAGACAAGACAAATGTGCAGAAGCATCCAGGGAGCTGTGGACACGAACAGCTGGCCGCAGAGATGCTCACCCCATGATTTGTTGCTTTGATTCCTCAGGCCGTGACTTGGCGAGCACGACCCTCCCTGGGTACCCTCCACACGTCCCCCCCGCTGGACAGGGCAGCTACTCAGCACCGACGCTGACAGGGATGGTGCCTGGTGAGTTTGCACTGTTGGCGTCTCCACAGCAGGCCACGGATGGGGCTTCTGGGGGGGGCACCCCCAAACAACCCAGTGACTTCTGTGCTTCTGAGAAGTGGACCAGAATTAATCAGGCAGAGGTCTCAGCTCTTGGCCTCTTTCTCTACAGCTGGGCCAGCCATGGGGCCAGGACCAGTCAGCAGCACTACCCAGAGTGCATCAGAGAGAGGGGCCCTCACTGGCCACACAGGGAATCTGAACAGAGGGGCACAGCAGCTGAGGCCACCCAGCCATTATAGAGTGGGGACCTCCATCCACTCCCTGCCCACTTAGTGTGCTGTGAACCCCTCTTCACCCCCGGTGAGCTCAGTGGTCTTACTCCTTGGTTGAGGGCCTGTGTTCAGGACAGACAGGAGGTAGGGGTGTCCCTTGATGCTAAGCTGAACACCCTGTGGTTACTGAAATGTGATCTCTTTGGGCCAGTGATGTGTCATTTTCTCTTAAAACATTTGGAAAGGCAGTGCCCAAGTCTCCTTCAATGATGGGGTGATGAGGGGTCCGGACAATACATCCCCACAGTGCTGGCTCTCCATGGACTAAGGGCATCAGCATAAGGGTTACCCAAAGTATTCTTTGACAGTTATTTTTTTTTGTTGTTGTTAATTAAGGAAAATCAGAATCGGTTGGATGTTGCTTCACTTCTTTAGGGGCTATTGTTGTCTCTGGTCTTGAGTCATTTGTTCAGGCCTGGGGACTCTCTTTTAACACATGCAGTTGACTCTTTTGGGTGTTGGTTATTCCCTCTCTCCCCACTGAGACAGCTTTCTCTTTGGAGTCTCATACTAGCTCTGAGAACTGGGAAGTGGATCATTCTCCCCACTTTCTTGGTAGAGGAAAAAGTTGAGCCCAGAGAGGGCCTGGGATTTGCCTAAGTCACCCAGCAAGTTGGAACCAGAGCCATGTCCAGAGCCGAGACCCAGCCCAAACATGGAGCTCCGCCCTGCAGCCTCCCCTTCAAGGGGCCTGTCTGGCTCCACAGGGCAGTCTCTCCCCAACCTACAGACCAGGGAGGGTCTGCAGGGACTGGGAGTCATGGCCACCTGGTGCCTACCCTGGGACCTGCCCAAGTGGCCCAAATCTCCTCTCCAGCCCAACTCACGAATGTGAGCACCCCTGTGGACTAGCTGGTTATGGGGGTGTGGACAGAGCTGGAAAGTGAAGCCCGGACGTATGCAGTGGTGGCTGGTGAGGGAGTGGGGGTTGGAAGGGGGCCAGAGCAGAGGGAAGCTCCATGAGCCTCATCCTGGTGCGGAGGCTGAGGAGTCCTCAGGCTCTGAATGCATCCTGGCCTTCCAGGTTGTTACGAAGACGTATTTAACAAGGTAGGAGGGTAGAGCATATTTCATTTAACGGTTTGTTAGTTTGATTTATGACTTTTAAATATGAGACATATGGGAAATGGCCTCCGTGTATACTCTTGCCCTCGGCCTTGCCAATGCTGGGGAGGCCTGCCAGGCTCACGCCAGCAAAGCCTTTGCGGCTCCTGCTCATAGCAGATCATCAGGAAATTATCCACAGTGCACCAGGCAAACAGAGGTGGGGGACACCCCCCAGCTCTTCCCACCGACACCCTCTCCACTCACTTCCCAGCCTCTGGAGATGGAACCCACATGGGGTCCATTGGTGGGCTGGCTGTGCATAGCATTTGCTAGAAAATGAAGCCCTCTGATGTTCTAGCCTGTGAAGTGGGCAGTTCGGGAGTTCAGCTTCATTTTCCAAAGCAAAGCTGAGATTCAGAGAAGTTAAGGGACAGCCCATGGGGGTGTAGCTGGCAGGCAGGAGGAGGACGGCGACCTGGGCCTTGCCTCCGATTCAGCATACCTCCTGTGCCCTCCGCTGACCAGTGTGGCTCTGGGCCCATCAGCACAAGCTTCCCAGTAACACCAAGCAGAGGCAGCAGCAGCCCAGGGGGAAGCTGAGGCCACCCCGCTGCCCCCACAGGTCCCTGACTGCAAACGCCAAAGAGGCTGAGTTCAAAGAAACAGCAGAACTTTCCCGAGTTTATCCAAACAGAGCCCGCCCGGGCCCCTGTGATGCTGCCAGCCTCAATCACCAGGCCCAGGACGCAGAGCCCCCAGCAGGAACCCATGAGCTTCCTGGCCATTAGCCGTGGCGGCAGGAAACTCGGGTCCAAGCAAGGGCACAGACTAAGGAGACCTGCTGTGGCATCTGGACGTGGGTGACCCCCGAGGTCGACCAGGTGGCATGGTTCCCTGAAACTCTGTCCCCTGACACGGTGGAAGGGTCTAGGAGGGAGGGAGACAAGCATTTGGGTGGGCGCCTCCTCCTTATCCCTCCACCCTTGCGTCTCTGTGTCTCTCCTGCCTCCCTCCTTGTCTCTCTTGTTTCTTTGCTTGTTTCCTCTTCTCATACAGCACCCAGCACCACTCAGCGCCAACTCACTGTCAGGGCCGGAGCTCTGTGCTTGGCGAGAACAGTCCTTAGTGCCTGTTTCTCAGCAGCCAAAGTAGACTGGGGGAGGGGAGGCTTGGGACTCTTATTTACAAGGCGATTTCCAAATCTGATTCTTCCATAGTTCAGCGAGGCTGGGCAGTGATGTCCAGTTCACAGGGTCTTTGCCGGCACTGCCCAGAGGCTGGGCCCACGGCTGAGACGCCCACCTGGCAGAGCAGGTCCTGGGCCTCCCCAGGGTCTGGCTTCAGCTGGTGGTTCTGGTCTCCTCCCCAGCCCTTTCCCCATCTGACCCCTCCCTGGTCCCAACACAACTCACTCTACTAGCCAGTGACTCTCCTCATCCTGTGCCTTTGACTGAGGCCACCCTCTGCCTCCATCTGTGGGAATCCACCTTCACCCCAGTGTCACAGCAATTTCCCTGAGAAATCAGACGGCACTCAGAGAGGTGGAGAGAGAGAGATTTACTTGTCACACCGGCGGGCTCAGTGGGATCAGTCCCAAAAGGCTGAGTCCCGAATTACAGGAAAGGTGAGGTTTTGTACAGGATGTACGAGGAATCTTGTCATCCCATCCAGCATAGCATAAGCATTCTTTATTGTTTGGGAAGTTGGTCAAGGTAGACATAGCTACTACTGTGGACAACCAGCACACTGCAGGGACTTTCTCTCCAGCGAGCAGCAGAACCCAAGCAACAGACTCCCCCAGGCAGCAGGCCTGGGAAAGGAGCAGGACCAGCAGACCTGGGAAACTTCCTGCTTCACAAGGGCAGAGCAGAAACACCCCCTGCCACTGGTGGCGCCCCTGACACCCACCCGGCGTGGGTCGGTGGTCCTGCTGTCTCTCCCGTGGGAGGTGAGCTCCTGAAGGGCCAAGTCCTTCGCTTACTAGTCTCTTACCTCTTCACTGTCCATAGCACCTAGTAGGTTCTTCATGTGCATTGGCCAGAGGAAGCAGGGAAAAGTTAATATTGACCTGTGTGTTCATCCTCTATGGCTGCAGTAACAAATGGCCACAGACTAGGTGATTTAAGACAACTGAGATCATTTCCTCTCACACCTTGGAACCCAGCATGGCCCCTGCCGTCCTTGGCTGTTTCCCTCTGATGCTCAAATCTCTCTGTGTCTCTTCACAGCACTGTCCCATCTGTGTGTGTCAAATGTCTTTCCACCTCTCTCGTTGATAAGGAGGCAAATGATTGCATTGAGGGTCCTCTCAGTAATTTCCCCATTTCATGATCTGTAGTCTACAAAGAATGCACCCACACTTTTTGGGGGCTCGAGGGCATATAAGTCACAGCCAGAGATTCCAGGGCTTAGGACATGGTTAGACCACTATATGAGAATGTCAACTCTTTTTGGATTTCTGATTCCTAACCTCGTAAGCTTCTGACCCTGGAAGACATTTGTTTGTGATAATGGATGGAAGGGGATTCACTTGTAACCCCCCAGGCAAGTGGGCAGGGTTTGGAGAAACAAGAGGAGAGAGGTTTTTGGAGCATTATCTTGCTTTGTCTCCAGGCTGCTTCTCTGTGCAGAGCTGAGTGGTTCTCCCTCCTTGCAGGAAACCGGAATCCTGCTCAGTTTCTCCCACCCTAGGTTTTGGGAAACTTGGTTGCACCTTGTTCACCTCCGAGGCAAGGATTTTGAGCATGAGGTTTGCTTTTAGGGAGGAGAGTTGCCTCTGGGGTACAAGTGACAGTTCAACTTCTGTGTCTGAGGAAGGAAATGTTATATCTTCCCACTGCACATATTTCCATTACATTCTGCCAACTGAATCCAGATTTTGCCAAGAGGGTGCCATCTGCCCTTCTGAGCTCAGGGCATCCCCATGTCTGCACAAAACGCGGTTCTCCTCCAGTACTCCTACATTCCCTCTCTGAGCTCTGCAAGCCCTGTCTCTGCCGCCCACTTACGCTGACCCGAACACACACATCCTATCAGCTGAGGATGGAGATGGGCTTCAGATTTTATTTTCATCAAGCCCTAGCAAATGCCAAAAGTTTTGCACCAAAGATTCCATAGAGTCTTGATTGGTGGAACTAGTTGTTTCCTGCCTGAAGATATTTGCACAGCCTAACAGATATCGACATGGCATTTGAAACTCTTAAAAATTCTGGGGGAAGGAAGGGTATTCACTGCCCTTTGGCTTCAGTGAGTCTAAGCCGCAAGGTAACTGGCTCAGAGATGAACCAGTCAAGGAAGGCCAGCGCCCCCCATGACACCTCCCCATTTGACTCCTCTGAGGGCTTGAAACCAGAGTATCTGGGAATTCTAACCAGTCTCAGCAGCCAGGAAGCCCACAGGAGCCTCCGAGGAGCTTGGCGCCCTTCTCTGAACATTCCACTTGTGGGGCCTGCCATTTCTAGGTGTCTTCGATTACATTGCTCAGTTACCTGATGGCTTTTATTTTCTTGAAGTAGAGGACACGGTGGGGCTGCAGCAGGAAGCTGGGAGATGCGTGAGCAGAAGGAATGAGAGCCCCACTAGTCCCCCAGCACCTGTGGGCTGACTCTGCATGTGGGCTCAGCCCTCTCTGCTCGCCCA